CACCCAGACCACTTCAGCTTAATGAAGTGGTCTGGGTGCCAGGTCCAGCTAGGTTTAACCCATTTTTTCATAAACATAGCAGTTTCAGGGAAACTGCTATGTTTATGAATGGGTTAAGCCTTCCCCTATTTCCTCTAGTGGCTGTCTCATGGACAGCCACTAGAGGCGCTTGCGTGCTTCTCACTGTGATTTTCACAGTGAGAGCACGCCAGCGTCCATAGGAAAGCATTATGAATGCTTTCCTATGTGACTGGCTGAATGCGCGCGCAGCTCTTGCCGTGCGTGCGCATTCAGCCCAGGAGGAGGAACGGAGGAGGAGAGCTCCCCGCCCAGCGCTGGAAAAAGGTAAGTTTTTACCCCTTTCCCCCTTCCAGAGCCGGGCGGGAGGGGGACCCTGAGGGTGGGGGCACCCTCAGGGCACTATAGTGCCAGGAAAACAAGTATGTTTTTCTGGCACTATAGTGGTCCTTTAAGTGGTTAAGATACAGGGGGCATAAGGAAAATAAAAAAGCAAAAGAGAAAAAAAATAAAATAAAAAAAATGGCCTGCTTTAAAATAGGCATAACACAACTTGTAGGTGATTTTTTTTAATGTTGTATTACATAGTATAGTTCCCAGTTCATAGGCCTCGTTAGTTGATACTCCATGACGTGTCACTGTATTCAGCACACACACCACTATCTAGGAAGTAGGTGAATTTCATCACAATGTGGCTTTCTTCAAATGGAACGGTCACTTCTCACTATTGAGCGATTACTAGGGTAATGAATCCACAAAATTTACCTCTGTACTTCCCTTGGTCGATATTGCCCCATGGTGTTCCTGGAGAACTAGAGCATTTGCCATTAAGTGCAATTCAAGAAAAACAGGTACTTGCTTCTGTGTGGCACATTGTCAGTTAAAGCAATTATTTTGTCTATTGGATGCGTCAGTAATAAAATGTAAATCATGAGAAATAGCGATAGTTAGCACTATTAGTTAGCCATCACATTTTGAAAAGAGGGGAGCAACAATAACATACTTTAGTAGTTATGTGGATAAAGAGACAATAAGCAAATGCTCAAGCCAGCCTGAGAACTTTCAAATCTCCATAACCAAAAAGCATCCAACAAATGAAGATAAAACTTTGACTTTTGTAGTTTTCCTATGCTTGACAAAAATGCAGAGCTACTGCTGTCAAGCTGGGCTGACGGAAAAAAGGCTGTCTACGGTGGACCCTTTGGTCTCACAGGATTCTCCATAGATATCAGTTTTGTACTCTACTGCGTCAAAGTACAGCATAGATGTTAGCAGGTTATTATTATTTATAAAGCACCAAATTGCACAGCGCTGTGAACAATGGCAGATAAAGTGAAGAGGACCTCACGGAAGAAGATGGTGGCAGCCATGCAGGTTCAGGTAAGTAAAAACTACCTTTTCTGACCAGAGTGTTCACCCACCTGGGTGCCTGCTCTGCATGAAAAGACCACAGAAATTTACAGAGCCGTTTAAAAGGAACACCATAACTACCACAGCATATAATCTCACTGCCAATGCAAATAGTAAGCTGCTCACCACTTGTCAGAGAAGCCAGAAGCTTTCCAGTGGTGCATGGCTTAGCTCATTGACGATGACTGATCAGCTGATGCACTCAGCCAATGAGCTGGGAGAGCTTAGTTAAAGGAATACTATAGTGCCAGGAATGCGAAGCTGTATTCCTGGCACTATCGCTCCACCTGCCTCCCTTGTGCACCTTTTTCCTGGTGAATAAAGTGTTTTTAAAAAAAAACATTAAAAAAACTTGCCTTATCCCAATGCCGATTTCCCTCTGCGCTGGGTCAAAGTCCGCCTCCTCCTCAAACATCCCACGATCTAATGTGCACCACCCCATAGGAAAGAATTGAATCAATGATTTCTCATGGGGGAAAATCTGACGCTGGATGTCCTCATGCAGAGCGTGAGGATGTTCAGCATCAGATACCGGACTAAAGGTATCCAGGAAACCCTCTAGTGACTGTCTGGGAGACAACCACTGGAGGCAGACTTAGAGCTGCAATGTAAACACTAAGCGCAAAAGGGACAGTGCACCCACACAACTTCAATAAGCTAACGTGTTCTGGGTGCCTATAGTGTCCCTTTAAAAAGAGCTAATGGATGATCCTAGCAAGAGCCTTTGGCTCTCTAGAGCAGAGAAGGCAGGGAGAAGCGCCCAGCTGACCTCAAGCAAGCAATCAAGCGTTGTAGCATTTATGGTGCTTGGAGTATTCCTTTAAGCTGCAACTGTGTCTGTAAAATCCCTCAGATATTCTACCCTTCTATATCATATGTAGTAAATTAGACATAATTTACATCATCACATTTAGCAATGCTTTTTTGCAAGCAAAAGACAGTATCTTAGCAAGGTTATACCGTCTGAGTGACGGTGACTAGGAAAAAATGTAAACACTGCCTTCTCTCTGAAAAGTCTGCAGGGACAGGCTATAGACACCAAAATCACAACATTAAGCTGTAGTGGTCCTGGTGACTATAGTGTCTAAGAATTGTATTTTTGTAGTTGAATATAAAGCTTTGTAAGTTTAAAAAAAATATGGCTCCTAACTTTTTTAGCTGGCTCCTAGATTCAAATCACATTTGTCAAGCCCTGATATAAGGTAGATAGGAGTGTCAATGACAGTTTATCAAGCCACCGTTAGGCTGGTAATACATAACGGACTTAGTCAAAACATTAACAGGTTTGTCGAGAGACATGTGACATAAGCATGCTCTAGCTTTCAATTCATTCCTAGGGAAAATAATTTAGGCAAGAATAGTAGTGTTTTTAGCATTTTTTGGTTTTCTTTTGCATGCATATGCCAAGAGATTTGCAACTGCTGTCAAAAGTGTGTTTCCTCCTAAAAAAAATTAAGCTAGAGCTACATTCTGAAGAAATGTATTTTGAACAAACTGGTTATTTTACAGGATGCATAATATGGAGTCTTTGGTAGGAAGGTACAAATTTAGGCTCAGGTATGTAGAAGCTACACACACACACACTACAACGCAATGGAGCAGACATGGAGAAATTGAGTGGGATTTCATCTTTTTCACACTAAACTATCAGAGATGAAGACACGCCACTGCTAATAATTAGCAAGCATTGTTTGTGAACTAAGTTGCGGATGACGTGCTTTGTGAAATAGCGTGCATCCTTTTGCAAGTAAGTGAAGAGAAGATGTACATGTTCAGCAATAATCCTCACGCCAAAACTAGGGGTAGACCGATTATCTGTTCTGCCTATTATTAGAGCCGATGCTCTATATATTTTTGATAATTGCTATTGGTTTTGTAATTTACTAATTCCTTACTCATCTCTACCAGTCATTGCACGCAGTCTTCTGCATCTGAAAACGCCAGCAATGATGCACCACTTCCCAACCTCCAGTCACCCCACCCAGTGAGTCCCTGCATGATGAGCACAACAGAAAACAGGGAGGTGGTACAGTTAATGACCTACAGGAATTTACTAGGCTGGCTGCCTGACAGTAATAGGGGTGTGATTGCTCTCAGCAATCACTCTATAATCAGTAATAAAACTGGTACATGCTGGGATCTCTGTAATCCCAACTAACTGGCTGCCTGAGAGGAGTGTGCTTGCTGGCAGCATGTTCAGTTTATGTCAGATTTGTAAAGAAATTGTGTTGCTCTCCTGTATGCTTGAACCAGTGTGGTCATTTTACACTCTCTCATTAATAAAACATCCAGAGCTGCACATTTCTCTAAACTAGAGGTCGGCAGTTTGAGATACTGAAACCAACCACCATTCCACAGTCAAAGACACGTTTGCATTTTAGAGAATGAGTAAATAAAGTAGACACAGACTGGATTTTCCCCCCAGCCTAGGTATAATTAATATGCATATACACACGTTCAGAGTTAAATAAACCCTTTAGACTAAAGAAACTAAGCTTGCTAAAGTGCTGTTATTTCTTGTTGCTCAGCTCAGTGGAGCTAAACTCAAGAGGCAGCAATTTCCCAGAGCACTTGTCTTGCAAGGACATCTCATTAAACTGCATTGGAAAATCTGTGATTGTACAGCCACAGAAAAACCTATGTGAATGTGTGTGCCGGGGTTTGAGTTGCAGAAGCTGCAGACAATATGCATGCACATTTGTATTGGGAGTATATATACTAAACCTTTTTTGGGGGTCAGCGGAGTGTCCAATTAACAGTAAAAATAACAGCAGTAGGCACTTCTGAGAGGCTCTAACAAATTTCTTAAATCTAAAAATACAATTGTAAAATAAACATGCAGACCAAGCATGTCAAACTCAAAGGCTATCACTGGCCAAATAAACAAGGTTTAAGTTTATATAGGCCGCAAACCACCCCCCATTTACCCCTCAAAAAAAACTAAAACTTCAGTTTTCATTGTAACGTATGTTTATTTAGAAAAGTACAGTATAAAAAAGGTTGCTTAACTGACACTGGACGTCCTCACGCTTGTAGGGCTTCAATGTAAACAAAAGAGCAAATTATAAGGAGACCTGCATTTGCATATAACCTTTGACATTTAAAGAAAAGTTTGTTAATGGGACTGAAATGGTGAATGTATGCTGTTGCACAGCTGTAAAAAACAAATGACGTTATCTTGTTGATTATGAAGTCCTATGAGTGTGTTCTTCACTTTGGCTGAGATCATCAAATTTTATGATCTTAGCCAACTCAATGCTTTCCCATAGGAAAGCACTGGGAAGCTATTGTGCATGTGTGGCAAATGGCTGCGCGGCCAATCAGCATCTCAATGGGGAGCGTTCAGCACCTACATGCAATCTAATGCAGTGCCCCTTCCCCCCAATCTAATATGCTGCCCACAAATTCAATACACTGCCCTCCCACCCCCCCTAAAATTAATACACTTCCCCTCCATCCCCAATTTAATACACTGCCCCCCCTCCCCCAATTTAATACACTACACAAGAAAATCCCTCAACTCCCTCTTCTACCACCTTAAGATGAGCCGCCCTCCAGTTCCCCGAACATAGATTAGAGGGATTCCCTGCTCTGTTGTGTTCATTTATGTACAGAGACATTTCCCCGAACATAGAAGAACGCAACAGAGCAGGTAATTCCTTAACTCCCAATTTGTTCTACGATCAGGTCGTAGGAACGGAACCTGGTCGGTAAGTGAAGAGTGTGTGTACATATAATTTTAAATTTCTTCAATGAAACTCACATTGAAGATTATTATAATTGGCATTTACATAGCGCCAACAGATTTACAATATTAAAAGAAGGGGGGGATTTCACTATAAATAGGACAATTACAAAATAAAAATTAACAGGAACGATAGGTTGAATAGGACCCTACTCAAACTAGTTTACAGTCTATAGTCTATATATCTGTATAGGTATAAAGATTTTTTTTATGAAATACTCATGCTGACTGAGTTGAATTGCATTGGACAAGTCTGAGGTTCACAACATTTTGACAAAATACAGATCTCCACCATCAACTTTTGTCCAATTCCAAAAGCCGTCAGGCACCGTCTCACTCATTACAAGATGTGATCTATAGAGGCTCCAGCAGAATCTTCCATAGGCCTCATTGTTGTTCTCTTGTTGGTGCACAAGAATGGAGCACAGACACAGCCCTTGGCAGATAAAGCATCACAAGCAAAAGAAAGTTTGCCAGAAGAAGATAGCAGTGGCCAGGAAGGACAGCATCAGGTAAGTCAACGTGCCTTTTACTGCATGCCATTGCCTCTAGACCCTAAACTGAGATGTTAACTTCAGGGGTCTTCGCAAAATATGCGAAGATCCCTGGAATTGCAGTAGATGTACGACTGTACAAACACTGACTATACTATACCTTTGTGTATACAGAGAAGACAAAAGAATTGCCATTCAATGTTTTTTTTGCTATTACATAAACCTCAATATCTCACAAAAACATGCAATTAAAACATGCACAGACACAGAACCATATCTCTTCGGTCCGAAACAGACTCACTTTAGATAGGAGTAAAGAGCACCATTTTAGTCTCAGCAGGAGTACTTAAAAAAACAAAAAAACAAAGCCACCCAACCACAAATCTTCAAAAAGAAAAGTATATAGTATCAAGTGTATTATTTGATATTCTGTACTTTAAAGGACATTCCAAACACTAATGGAAATTGTATAGCTTCTTGTATAGCTATTTTAAAGAGATTTAATGTTCCCTTTGGCTGCTGTGCATCTCTGTCGAAGGTAAGGAGAGATCATAGTCTGAAGTAGTCTGCCCTGGTGTCCAGCTACATGTATGCTCTAGTCCAGGGGTAGGCAACCTTTTAGCAGCACCATGCCGATATAGGATGGTGATGTCCTGTAGCGTGTCGGTCCTATTTTTTTAAAATTGAGGTGTGTATGCTGCCGTGTTCTGCTTGTGTTATTTTTATTGCAGTTGCTTTGTATCGTTGTATTTGTGCGTATATAAGCTGTTATATTGTATATGTTCATTAGTAGTTTATGGTATTGTGTATGATACATATGAATGTGGGCTGTGTATGAGGGCTGCTTGTGGAATTGTGTGAGGATGGATATGACACATTGTGTGTTTGGTAGTGTGTGGGGGCTGTTTGGGGTATTGCATGTGAGAGGCTGCATATGGGGTTGTGTGCATATATGTGGATTGTTAGCGGGTTACGTTTGTGCGGATTGTGTGTATGTTTGTGTGTGGGCTGTTCATATTAGGGGAGCGTTATTCTGCATTTCTGTGTATATCTTGCAGTGTGTGTGGCTTTCCTTGGTTCCAGTGGGGACCAGGCTGGCCAGATACAGGTCATGGACAGGAGCTGCAACAGCAGCTGCGGGTTGCTACACTACAGTGTGGATTCCCATTCACAAGTGCTGGGAGGAAGTGATCTGCGATCACTTCCTCTATGTACTGCAATGCTTAAGTTGAGGATTGTCCTTCACCATCTCTTCTAATTAGCAGGTATCTGAAGTTTTACTGGGACTCCTGATAGGCCAGAGCCTGTTTGGCTCAACAGCCTTGAGTGCCGTGCAAATACACATTGAGTGCCGTGCATGGCACTAGTGCCGTAGGTTGCCTACCCCTGCTCTAGTCTATACATTCTGTTACAGTATAGACAGCTTCTAGGATTCCCCTGTGCTTTCGTGCTGCATCTTTACAGTGCCAGGAGAATGATATACCAAGACTTTTAACAGCCATTTGGAGCCTCATAATTTGGCTTACCCATATGTTGTGGACTAAAAAAGGAAGTGGAACTTTTTTATGTTCACTTCCGAAGTAGCGAGAAATCCACAGGTTTTTTACAAAATGTAGAGGGACTTGGTCCATAACCACCTCATACTACAAAAGTAGAAAATCAGTGGGGATTATGGTACATGCTTGCCCCTTTTAAAAAGAAATAAAAAGCACCAAATCTTCTTTAGTAAGCTATGACTTACTAATTCTGCAAAAGATAACATCCGACTGTGTTTAGGCTGAATATTGACTCTTTATTATAGCTTAAAATGTTAAGAATTAAAGGAAAATGTCAGCTTTCAGACAAAAATACAAATTGCCAAATTGAAAACATAGGTGACTTACATACTTTTATGAACGGGGAGGTAATTATTGGGTTAAAGCGTCAGCTGAATGCTCTAGCCAAACAACAAATCCTTGTCCAGCGGCACTCCATGCATCCAATAAGTCAATAGAAGAACTTGAATGTGCTGGGGAGAGGAAGATCAGGTACTGGATGCAACCTTTAAGGTTAAACCGTTCGAGAATGTTTTAACCCCTTCAGGTTAGAAAGTACCAAGGATCTCCTGGCACCATAACTTCAATGAAGTTGTTATGGTGCCTGGAGTGTTCCTTTAAATTTCCTCTAATGAACCATCATTTTCTTCCTCTGGGATAAGTGAAGTAGATCATGATTTGTCTCATGTTTCCTAAATTATACAAATATCTGCAGACAACAGACTGAGGAAATTGAAAAAAATATCAAAGTAAAACACAAACCATGTAAGAAATGCAGCAGACAATGGACAAATGCATTTCTCAACAGGAACTCATTATACTGGTTGACAATTTCTCCTCTGAATGTAAAGAATTCCAGCAATATGTATGTTGAAACATGCACATTCTTGCTTTACTAACACAGGAAGTAAAGAATTACTGGCAAATTACCCCGCAGAGATTCAGGAATAGGCATCCAACTAGTGAGCAGCAAACATTTTTGCTTGTTATAGAAACAGAAGCTCTGGAAAGAACAGTGATTTATTTACTGATTTTCTCACTAATTTATATTCTAAAAATGTTCTATTTGCAAAATGCCATTAAATACAGGAAACGAAAAGTTTCACATTAGTTTAGTCACTTAAACTGACAGAATCTCTAAAAACTTCTACAATTGTTGTAAAGTGAAATCTGTTCCATCAATGCTAATGAAATAGTAATTAGCATTCAATGATAAAAAAATATATTTTACGGAAAATACTAAAACGTATTCTTACAATTAAAGCAACTCAAGACATTAAGTGTTTGAGTGTACACAAATTGGACAGGTGACTTTATAACTATAACAGATTATAGAAAACATTAAAATGCTGCTTAAAAGTTCTGCTTATGCTACTCGTCTGCATAAGAATTATTCCCGGATAGATATTTATTCAGGAAGCGGTATGCAGACGTATGCTGTATAGAGACCCCAGATTCCTTTTCTGACATTTGTTCTATAATTAGAAGAAACCTAAGAAGTGGACACACACACACAGAAATACTGTAGAGTCAGAGAACATGTACTACACAGTAGTACAGAGAACTATGATTTGGAAGTATATTTTGTGCAAGTGGCAAGCTACAACTTGCAGTAAAAACATCTATTAACACTACACCAAGTTCACATAGGTTAGGCTGAACCAAGAACCTTATTCTGCACATGTGTAATCAGTCTGGAAAACACAAATAAAAATAATCCTTATTATACAAGTGTAACAATAACAACAACAATAGCTATATGTAACTGCTACACTGATTCAATTAGTGTGTTCTGATTTTTCACATCACTTATAAACCAATGCAACACAGCCTTCACATAGTTTAAAATTATGTGACAGCAACTGCTCAAATAGATAAAGAGAGCAATTAAAGTAACAAAACAAAGTAAAAAGTGACAACTTTTTATAACAATATATGGGTTTTGCATGGAGAAGTAGTAAAGTTGTGTACGTATGTTCTATATTTATGCTAGCTTATTACTGTTTGATTATTGTTTTTTTTTCTATTTATTGTTTGTTTTTGAACTTTGTGAGTTTCAGCTTGGGTATAGAGTGACTAATTGGGGCATCTGGCCATATTTTTATTGAAGTTGTTGTTGGCAGGTATAACTCATTTTGGAAGCTTAGACACTACATATATATATACACACACACACACACACACACACACACACACAGAGTCAGGACTATTCAGATTTTCCTTCTGTCCTGATCTTTATTGCACTACATATTTGTATTATGTTTGCTTTAATTCCATCAGTAGAAAATATATGAGTAATGTATATAACTGCACTGACATTTGAATCTTCTAGCTATCCATATAGAACTTCAATACATTTTGCTTTTAAAATGTTACACACGTTATTTTCTGAATAAATAAAAGTTACGTTTAAACGGCATAAACATTATTTCTATTATGTATACAGGTGAATCAATTAAATTCATAACAACAGATTATATATGGGAACACCCAAACAAGAAAGTGGCATTTAAATGGCAGTCACCTTTTCAGACTATATTTATAGGTAAAGCCAGGAATGGCAGGTGGGAGCCATGCCAGCCAGGTAAGGGCTGTCCCTTGCTATTGACAGGCCTTGTTCTTCTCACTCACTCAATGGATGGATGGATAGTGACATTATTTTATGCACAGCAGCCCACATTGCTGGGGAGTGCTGGGAGTGGCAGTCCTACAGCCCCTGGCAGGTAGAGCTGTCACTGCTCGGGCAGTGTAAGGGTTAAATGGGGAGGAAGTGCAACTTATAAAAGCAGGAACTCGAATAGCCGTGTCTCAGCCTGCGCCGCGGCAGCAGACACAGAGTATAATTACTGACAAACTGCCAGGGCGTTTCGGGCGCGGTTGGTATTTACCTT